AAATTCTGATGTTTCGTTTAGGGATTAAAAGAATTTTTCCCTGATTCAAATTTCGTCGGAACTTCGGTGTTTAAATCCAAATTCGTCTAATTATACTTGGAATTGATTATAGCTGCTGATTCAAGTTTTATATGTTGCTATGTAGACCCGAGAGGGTTATGCTAAGGAATGCAAGATATGTATACGCTCTTTCACGGTTTTTAGGTGGCGACCTGGCCGGAATGCGAGATACAAGAAAACCGAAATCTGTCAGACTTGCTCCAAGCTGAAAAATTTATGCCAAGTCTGTCTTCTGGATCTTGAGTTTGGTCTTCCAGTTCAAGTCAGAGACACAACACTCAACATTACTACTCATGACTCTATCCCTAAAAGCAATGTCAACAGAGAGTACTTTGCCGAGGAGCATGACCGAAAGGTATGACCATTCTTCTTTTGCCTTTTTAACTAATTACGGTTACTTATATATTTCAACATTGGTTTGGTTTGAGAGTTTGCTTTGTAACGTGAAAGATTGATGATGACTAAGTCTAGTTTCCTCTTAGACAAGTGATTTTGATTGTTTTTGTTTCTTTTATGTAGACTAGAGATGGACTGGATTATATCTTCATTTGGGAAGATGCGACCTAATGATACTATTCAAAAGCTTCAAAGAACAGCACCACACTATGAAAAGAACCGACCACATATTTGTAGTAAATACTTCACTTGTCAGTGTACAAGAGGTGCCGAATGTCCATACCGACATGAGATGCGCAAAACAGGAGAGCTATCCCACCAAAACATTAAAGATCGTTATTAACAGGTAAACTATTTTCTTCTATATCGCTTGAGTCTTTGTTAACGTTTAGTTGCCTTCTCGAATGTTTGTTTCAATATCTCCCTTAATAGAGTTTGTGATTTTTCATATGTTTCTGCTATAGTACTATATTCTCGTCGATCAGTTCATATCATATGCTCGATATTTAGATGCCCTTGTGATCTTCAATTCTTGGCCTGAACTATGTTATGTTGGCTCACCTTATATGTAGAAGCCATTGTTATTTTACGGTCTTTTCGGATTTTTATTCCCTTTATGTAGTTAGTACTTGTGCCTTTATGCATGTCAAAAAGTCGGAATGCAATGTTTATAATCTTCTTTTTTGTTACACATTCACAGTGTAAATGATCCGGTTGCGATGAAGTTACTTGGTAAAGCTGGTGAGATGGGAAGTTTGGAACCACCAGAGGATGCAAGCATCAAAACGCTTTACCTCGGTGGACTTAACTCGAGAATCCTCGAGCAGGACCACTACAAGAAAACAGCCACTATTCCGACGGAAATTCCCACGGCCAATATTTCCGTCGGAATTTTCCGACGGCTTACCGACGGATTTCCGACCAACATTTAGTCCGTCGGTATTCCGT